AAATTAGTTTAAAAAAAAATGATTTCAATAAAAGTAATAATTTACCACTGAACATTACAGTATAATTTATGTTATATATTTAAATCAGTATTAATATAAAAGAGTGAAAACTCAAAATAGACATAAACTGAATATTAGGTTTTAATAAGAAAAATCAAAATACTCAAGCTTCGTCAGGACTGAAATAAACCTTGATAACATACATGTATAATGAGTCAAAAGAATTTTTTCTTTGAATCTGTTGAGTGAGAACTTGGATTTAAGATCTCCTGGGATTTAAACAACATGCGCTCAATAAATGATAGGTTATATGTTTCTTTTATCTAATTTTTAGTATATTTCAATATTTTATTTGTACTGGAGGGAGTGATTGATTCAAGAGAATGATTGTTTTATTTTTTTAAGGTTTCTTCCCTTGAAACAGCCTAAGAGCTGAAAAACGTTGATTTAGAAAATGAAATGATGTAGAACTTTTGTGATCAAATAAGTGTTTTTATTATTAGTAGACGAGAAAGAAATCCTTGAAATATCTAAAAGCTATTGCTTTTTTTCATCAATATGTACATCAAATATGTACTTAGTGTCTTTTTGCAATGTACCGACGTTATATTAATATGTTCTGTAGTTTAGCACTGACACCATGGAAACTCCTTCACTACGTTTTTCACATAATAAGAAAACTACACGCCTCCATCAGGAATAATTCAATTGCTAATTAGAAAGCTGATCAAAAAGTATTTAAAACTCATCTTCATTTAATACCAAGAAATAATATATGTAACTTCCTCCTCTCTCATTCATAGGAATTAAAGCGGACAATGCGCGATGTGTAACCAACGATAACATTACAATTAACATGAGCTTGTTTGACTGCAAATTCTTTATTTCGCATTTCCTAGCAAACGGTCTCGAAGGTACCTCACCAAGTATTGATGCCCGCATCAAAATTTTTAATACTCCATTTGTCCCGTTTCGATCCACTAACGTACCAATGGCGCAGTATTGAAGCCTAGTGAAAAGCATATTTGACATTATTTATTTGTGAAAGATAAACAAAAACAGAGAGTTTAATTCGCTAAACCTCTCTCTCTTTTCCTCCCGGAAATTCTGACTCCAGATTCAAGACATTTAAGCTTGATTAAAGCTTATATTCGTTACAAAACCGATTGGAAGGCTTGGGGAAATGATATGCGTAGGGATGAGAAAAACATATCGCTGATTATATTGAACGGATTCAAGCGTATAATAAATTACCAAAACAGACAAGAAGCCCCCAGTAAACCAGTCCAAGTAACGTTTTCATGAAAATCGATTCAGATTCGCTTATAATTACTTTTAAAATTACGATGTTCTTTTAAAATAAAAAATATAAATCTTAGGGCTTGATTTTACATAAGCATTTATTTTTCATACCACTTATATTTATAAGTCTTCAAGATTTTATCATAATTCAACTGCGAGTCTTGGCCTTGCGCACACAGTCTTAGTCTTGGCCCTGGTCTTGGGCAATAGTCTTGCGGTTACCTATTAGCTTATTTATATATTACTGTAATATTATTACTGTAATTTTTTAGATAGGCGAAATTTAACTAAGCCCGAATGAAAAATTGGAAGATTCAGGTGCAAAAGAATATTGGTTCTTTACATATTGTAACTAAAATTGTCAAGAATTAGTAACTATTGCCTTAATTTTTATTCACAAACATTTCTTTTTACCGGTGTTGGTCCTGTAACAGTTTGGTGGTCTTGGTCTTTGTCTTGCACTTAGTGAAAGTAAATTATTGTTCTTCCAAACCATAATAATAACTGTTAAATTTTACACCTATATAAGGAATAATCAAAGAAAAACTCCTCAAAGGTCTTTATTTTAAATTCCGTTTGGGATAGCTATACGCTGGTCTGTTTCCGACCGTTGATCATTTATTAAAGATAATGTGGAGCCATTGTATCATAAATATTTGGTTTTATATTCATTTACATACAGACCGATTAGCTCTGTTTCCCTATCAAAGACTTAGCGAGTCTCGATGTTTCCTTAATAGTTTTCAAGGATAACGATATCGTCCGCATATTCTAGGATTTTATGATTCATACAGACTTGAACCTCTCCATTTTCACTGGTGGTTTTCTTAGCATCTTGTACAGGGCTAAACTGAATGATGTTAACAAGAGTCTACCTTCCTGACGCTAGCAATTTCGACCTTAGAAGGATTCAAATTGCTCTCCTTGTAGAAGGAACCGACTCAAGGTCATCTGTCCACGCCTGCGTCAATCCCACCAACATCCCGGGAACTCCCAGATCAAGACTTTTTTTTTTTTAAGTCCGAGATTCATTCCATGGGTTCGCCTCGAAATAAATTTAAACCCGCCCAGGCCGGATTCGAACCGGTATCGTTAGACTCGAGAATGTTAAAGTTTCTCACAGATCAATCATGATTTTCTAAAGAGTTTCTGTTAAAAGAATCATAAGCTACTTTTACAACAACAAATTAGGTGTGCCCATTGTGAGCCATTATTTTTTTAATAATTGTTCGAGGATGAAGATCTGATCTAACGTTCTCCTCCCTCTTCTGAATCCAGCTTGGATAGCCACCTATTACATTTTTGTAATACGAATACATCCGGTTTAGCAAGATATTAATGACTATCTAGAAAGCAACAGGAAGGAGAACTATGCCTCTATAATTACAACATCCATAAAACCTTTCTTTAGGATAGGGCAGATTAGACCCTTATTTAGACCTTTGATATCCTTTCTTCCTCCCCATTTTTCTAAATTACATGTAGTAACTTGGTTCATAAATCTTCTTCTCCTTCTTCAAACAGCGAGGTACATTCCTCAGTGGTTGTACATTCCTGGAGCCTTTTTTTTTTTTTTTTCTATAGCTATTTCCACTTCCAGTATAACTGGTTTTGCAATATTTTGTTGGTCGAGATCCTCAGTGTGATCCATGCCTCCTCTGTTAGTGGGATTTCCTTGATTGAGAATTTGCTTCAAATTTTCTTTCTGGGTATTAAATATCCATTTTTTTATGCCGTCAGAATACCACCTTTTCCGCGCATTTGCGTGTGACTCATTTCATCTCATATCTATGAGTTCGGAGCATAATATTTTCTAACAGATCGTAGACATCATCTTTCTCCTCATCATCTCTATTTTACGTTGATGCATTCACGTTAATAATCGTGATATTAAATCAGCGACCGTAAAAATTCATAATACTCTAATCTTTTCGTTAATCGCGCGGCAGGTTATAATTAATTTCTTCCTTCTCGACCATAACATGACAGAATTTAAAATAAAATATTTTAAAATGCAAAATAAAACTCATTTTATTAAAATAGATTGTTTGTATTTCTTTTCAAAATACAAAAAACTATTTTTATTTTATTTTCAAGATATTAAAATACAAAAAAAATATTTTATTGTGTATTTTAAGTACACGGAAGAAATTGAGAAATAGAATAGGTTGCTTGTATTATATGCTGATTCTTCCTCCGAAAGTATTTTGTATTTTGATATTGTAATTAAAATTTAAAATACTTCTGGTATTTCAGTGGTTTATCCACTTTCTGGCCATGTTGTATGGTTGTTAACGGTATGTTGTATGTTTTTAGTTCCTGAACTGTAATTTCTACGGCTCCTGGTCTGTATAAGCTACGCACACTCCATGATGCATCAATGTTTGAGATCCAGGGTCCTTACCAAGTTAAGATAGTCCGATTCTAAGACTCGCTTTAGACTTCGTTATAAGGTCTTTTTTATGTGGGATATGGTTATTAGCCCCATCCCCAACGCCCATGGAAGACCAGATGCTATGGTGTAAAACATAGGAAACGCTCACTTCCATATAAGTCTCTGGATTTGGATGTTCCACTTCACGTGAAGGAATCGACTACGCACCGATTGGTCTGAGCACTCGGATAGTGCATGCGCTTTTATTTTATTTATTTCTATGTTATTTTATTTTTAAATAATTTATTATTGACTAACTTTATCAGATCACGTGTTGCTGTGGCTCAGTATCGCTAAATGGAAATGAAAAAATCTGGTGCGAGCTCAAATTTGAATAGAAATTATATTCTGGCCATGTTGGACTATTATAAAATTTTCGAATTGCATTTTTAACTGAGCTAACACCATTAAAATGGCAAAACCATTAAACTAATTGGAAGTGGATACTGTTGGGATATTACAAAGGGATAATTCATCAAATTATTCATTAATTTGATTTTCTAAACAGTTACATGACAATATTACGGACGTTATACGGACATTGATACCTAATTATTTAAATATAATATCAGATCTAGAATTATTAAACTACAGTACATGTATTTAATGTTATAAACATATGCTTTATACATCCATGAAATGATTTTATATTTTACTTCTTCTTTCACACAAGTACAATGAAGTAGTTTTTTAAACAATGTCATTGCCGTGATTAGGTGGATTTACAATTTTTCTTTAAACTTAAAAATATTTTAAAAGGTTATATTAAGTTATTAAATTTCATTTAATTATTTAATTATTCAAAACATGTGTTTTACGTTAAATATTATTAGTTTACAAAAATTATTATTTATAATTTTTTTGCCACTCTCCTTCTACAACTTTACTACCATCGCCGCACCTAGATTAGACTAGTGAAGACTAGTCAAGTTTCATGAAAATCGTTACAACCGTTTTGGTGCTGCGGTTTGTAGCGATAAACGTTTGTCGTCCGCTATTTCGAAACGAAATGCTCGATGGTAATAAAGAATATATAAAATCACCACTGAATTGGATTGCAACGGTTTGCCAAAATTTCAAAGCTATCAGTAGAGAACTTTCGGAGGTTAGCGATTTTCAAGAAACGAACGTTTATATTTCTATTTATATAGATTATAATTATTAGACTATGAGGAACATTGCAATAATAATTTCACTGATTTTTGAACTTCAGTATATTTGTAAAATATATATAAAAATAGACAATCTTATTTAAAATATATCAGGACAACAGGTAGAGGGGACTAGAAGTTAACGCAGCTGAGTCATCTGAAAATTAAAAATTAAATAAATAATGGTACAGAAAGATTACCCAAAGTATGCATATTATAATGAAATATTACTTTCTTTTAATAAATAATAAATATCTGAAGTAATGTAAAAATGTAGTATAAATAATTAAATAGGGCGGAGAGGAGTGCATCAACTAAAAAAAAATAAAGAAATGAAAAGTACCTACTTCTGTTAATGATAATGGTATTTGGATTTCAAGAAGCCTCCACTAATTCCATGGCCGATGATAGATCCTCCATAACCGTAAGCACCACCGTATCCACCTCCGATGCCGCCTCCGAGGCCGCCCCCAAGGCCGCCTCCAAGTCCAGCACCGCCTCCGAGGGCGCCACCACCGAAACCTCCACCGCCACCAGCTGACACAAGTACTGGCTGAGAGATTGCCACTGGTTGGGGAACAGCGACGGGTACGTCTCTAATAACAGGAACTGCCACTGGTCGAGGAACTGAAACGGGAACTGGTACAGACTGAGGGTACGGGACAGGCTGGGGGTATGGGACTGGTACAGGGCGCTCAACTGGTACGGCAACATTCCTGAAAACTGGTACAGGTACAGGTTGGGGCACTGGTACTGGTACTGGTTGGTCCACTGGTACGGATACTGGCTGTGGCACGCCGACTGGTACTGGCCTATCGACTGGCACGGAGAAGGGCTGTGGAACCGGAACCGCCACCCTGTTGTGCACTAAGACGTCCTGGCGGATGATGGTGCCGGAGCCTGCACCGCCTCCCAGACCACCGCCGCCGCCACCACCTCCGAGCAGGACGGCACCGCCGAGGCCGCCGCCGCCGCCACCCAGAGCGCCACCTCCGAGGCCGCCTCCTCCGGCTATTAGCCCTGCCCCGCCTCCAAGGACCGCCCCGTGGCCTAGGCTGGAGCCGTAGTAGCCGCTGGAGAAGATGCCGCGCTTTTCTTTCTGCTGGCTACCTCCACTCACAGCTACTGCCAGTAGCAATGCACCCACCTGAATAACAAATCAAATATTGAAGAATTAGACTGAACTATAATATTATTGCTAACTTGGGAAAGCTTTGCAAATTTATTTGAAAGCTCAGTTTGTGTAAAATAGTTCATGATTAAGTAATTTGAGTAAGTAAAAAGTAAAAGTCTTGTGATGGATCGAAAGTGTTTCTGTTACTGTACACGTATTTTAACCTTCGTGGATCGACCGACCTCTAAGTTTAGCGTACCATATAATAGTATATAAACACCATATTTTTGTCTCAATTTGGTTTAGTATAGCAGTTTAAAGTAGTTTAAAACTTTTATTTATTTTATCAATTTTTTATTCCTCCTTGGATTACTAAAGGCGGAGTAGAAAACCTTTTATTGTATGAAACAAAGTCTTATGCTTATTCTAAACTAAGTTTGAAAACGATTTTTTCGGAAATAGCAGTATCAATATAAGTATGTATAATCGTTTGAAAGCGAATGATTTTAGAAACATAAAAAGTCGTAGAGATAACTAGAAAAAAACGAAATTGAAGAGGATATTAAGGTTAGGCTGAAGGCGGTAAATGCTGGTTATTTTTCTTTGTCAAAATTACTTAGTTCTCGCCTCCTGTCCCGAAACTTAAAAATTAGAATTTACAAAACGATTATCCTACCTACAATTCTTTATGGAAGCGAAACGCGGCCGCTTACATTAAGGAATGAACAACGTCTTAAAGTTTTTGAAAATAAAGTATTGCGCAAAATATTCGGACCGAAAAAGGACTAGTCCCCGATGGATGGAAGAATGTGGACATCGATTGGTGGTATCGGCATCGAACCTTCGGGTTCTCTAAGACTTATTATTATTATAAAAAGTCGTGGAAGGGAATGGAAAGAGATGAAAAACTGAACAATAATATCAGAAAACTAATATTATTTAACAGAAACAAAATGTTTTCATGGAATCTAAATGGAAGCTTTTAAATTGATTTTTAAGCTTGGCAAACCTAAAATATACATAGAACCAAATTTTATTTTAGAACTTTTTTATTATATTTATGTGAGAGAAGTGTATATAATTTGTACCGCAATTATCTCTAAAATAATTGTATGTTAAAATATATGGTAATAATGTTAAATGTCTTTAATTTAATAACTTTAGCTCCAATACAATTGGTTGAAATGATTAGATATAATAATACTAACTAACCATATTTAAGCAGAAATTTAATTTGTTATTATATTGATAAGTAAAAGTTGTGTGATGCATGTTGTACCAGACTTATTAAATTAGTTCTATATTTTAAAATAAATTACATGAAAATTTTTACTTCCTTTAGGTTGCTTATTTCTCAAGTTTACATACTGTAAACTTTACTTTTGAGTCCAACATACTATTACATACCATTATTTTAGATACTGTAAACAGCTCATTTCACCGGCAAAGGTTTTTTTTTTTTTTGCTTTCTCTACCCGTATAATCGGCATGCTAGTAATTCCATTCTTTATCTCTATAAAAATTATCAATGTGGGACAAAATGTATTAAAAATTACATTGCTATTAAAAATGTATAGATTTGATTGAAAAAAATCGTTTGTTTGTTTCAAAAAAGATTTGATAGATTTTTATCTAAATCAATAAGTCACGAAGTGTACATTAGATGGCACCTGAAGTTATAAGTTGATATACATACATTACTTTCGATAATACTTATCGATTTGTTTATATCTCGTTTATTGTTTATAAACTCATTGAGTAAATATCTACTATATACCAAAAATAGATAACAACAACCAACAATAACTAACAAAATATCTAGTGATTTAGTTTTCTAAAATGTTACTTCATGACTTTTCATAATAAACCGACGATCAATTGTTTAAAATATTCCAAAATAATCTGAGTGGATCACTTATAATCAAATATAATCTCACATTACCCGTATTGAGATATTTTTATTAATAAATAAAAAAAAATTAATGTGAAATTCGGAATGAAAGTAGAAGAATCACTTTCACCGTTTTGGACTGTGATATATTTTAATACATGAAACTATAATGGTTTTTTTTTACTTAATGCTAGTTTTTATGCATCAGATACATTAGGAATACTTATTTTCCTAAATTTTATATATGTGTGTGTGTGTCTTTGTGTGTTGTAAATAGGAAAATTTTATCTCGATAGCGTTTCAGCACTATCAATAATATAATTTGAAAAAAACGATTTGTGTTAGTGTTAGAAGTAAAATGGTACCTTACCAGAGCGAACATGTTGATCGAGCTAAGGACTGGATGAGTGTGTGCCCCTGAGGTACACCCCTTAGATTTATATAGTCTTGTTGCCTTACGTAAAACTGGATCCTTGCAACTTGCTGGTACTTCTATGCCCTTTGTTGTAAAGTTCTTCCACCTTTGACGTAATAATTACTAGCGTCCATTGATTTCCAATCAGACTATGAACAGTTCTACAACATGACATCTCTAATTTCGAAAATAAATATTTGAAGGAGTTTCAGAAATCACACTAATGATAAACACGTCACTCTAGTTCATTAAATAATATTACAGGTTCTATTAATATCAAGAAACTTAAATATTTAAATTTACAATAAGGAATGAGTGCATATTTAATCACTTCATTGAATGTGTATTGTTATGAAAAAAAAAATTATATATCGCTAGTATCAGTGCAAAAGATCGTGTGTAAAAATTTAGTTTTTCTACAAAATAGCATACAGAACAGATTATTTATTTATGATTCATTCGTATAATTTCGTATTTAGTTCTCTCTACCAATTTCCATAGTAGCAGACTATTTATTGCAGCTGCAGACAACAAGATGTCACCTTTAGCACAAATAGAATTAACATTGAAAATTCATACATAACGAACCTATCTATGCTAATTGAAGAGACTAACGTTCGGGTAAAGTCGGCTAGTGTCGACTAACTAAAATATTTTTACAACTTTCAATGTTTAATAATTCAATCGAGTCTATGACTATCAACATATTTGTCAATTGTGAATACAACTTTATACTTTACGTTAATTAAAATAGTTTGAAGAATGTTTTTGTTTTTTTTATTTGTAAACAATGTTTTGGAAATCTTTCATTAGGTCTACTTTTGGGTATCAGCGAATCATTCTTTTAAGAACGCTTATTTCTTCTAGACCTGTTTCTATATGCACATAATAATTAGGGGTATTGCATGAACAAATATATATTGCTTTAAAATTACTTAAAGCAACGTTAAACTAGCTCTAATTTGTGACAGTATAATGGAGCCCTCCGCTGACTACAAAAGGACGAAATTCACTATGAAATTTAACAATTTAAATTTTGCTATCGAGAGAATCTGATCATGACTTCAACAAGATTTCCCGAACTCTACATGAAACCAACTGTGTTTTTGACGAAATTGTCTGCTGCCTGAAAAAATAAACCCGATGATGAAAAAACCACTCCTAAGTAATTATATTGTTTAATTACATCAATTTTAAATTTTTTATAGAAGTGAGGTTTAACTTTACGCATATTACCACTTTTTTTGAAAATCACAAATTTCGTCTTTTCAACATTAACGATTAACGAATTTAATTGACCATGGTTGTGCAGGGAAACTAATTTCTTATTTGTTCCGACCCAACCATTATCAAGTAAAACTAAATCATCCTCATATATTAGTCCGAATATTTCTGTTGTATGGTCAATATTTATTCCAGTACATCCATAATTTTTAAAATGATAAATCAGATCTGAAATGAATAATCAGAATATTAGAGGACTAAGGGAGTCTCCCTGTAATACTCCTTGACTGATTTTAACTGATTCCATATTAAGTTCATCCTTTAAAATTATAATAGCCTGTTTGTAGAGTTCTCGTAAAATATTTATTATTTTAGAGCTCAATCCCCGACTCTGAAGTTTGTTGCCACAATTTTGTATAATAAAAAGAATCAAATGCCCGCTTAAAGTCAACTAATGTCGCAAAGACCTTGTTGCCTCTGTAGCCCATTGAAATATTTACTACCCAATTTAAAGCAAAAATACTATCAACGCAACTTCTACTCGTCCTGAAACCATTCCTCTGGAATCAAGTTATAACTTTCCGCCCATTGTAGTTCTATCAGCTAGAATAGTTGTAAACAGTTTAACAACATAGTTAATTAGTGTTTTTCCCTGTAATTAGCGGGGTCTTTAGCATCGCCTTTTTTATATAATTGGAGTAGGAGGATGATTTAATACTTTAAATGTAAAAATTTTTTAAACCACAATTAAATTCACTAACTCCCTTATCCATCCTAGTCAGAATCGACCAGTTAAAAGGAAATTAAAATTAAAATTCTCTATGAAAATTAATTATTTAAATTAATATAAATTTAATAAAATTTATTAAATAAAATTAATATAGTTTTTATGATGCATCTAAATTAATTAGACCAGCGTATTGTAACTTTTCTTGAATCTATGATTTAATTTAAGTGAATAAACGATTGTTCTCTATTTAATAGTCCTAATAAGGCCCATTTTTTTTTCTTAACCGATCCTAAGTGTTTTCATCAATTGCAATAAAAATGCTGTTTAGGCTACATATCCCTACAAAATACATAATCCCTCTTCTTTCACACTATAACAAGATTTTTACTCTTTGTTATCCTGTTTATTTTCCCTTTATTAGTTCGTTACCCCATTAATTCTCTTCATATAAGTTCACATGTCATGATTGGTTGTTATAAAGACAACTATTTCATTTGTTTATGTAATTTAACTTTTTTTTTTCTATCTTATTCTGATAGAAAAAAAAGATTTATCTCTTTTATCCTCGGTTAATCCGGAGAGCCGGTTAAACAGGGTCCTACTGTAGATATTTTATAGAAAATTTAGTTCTGATTATGATAGTATCTACAAAAATTTTCAGTGACTAATAGATCAGTATTGCCAGGGTTTTTTTATCTGATAAAAATCGATTTTCAATCTCTGTGCACCAGGATTAGGGAGGCGAAAAGGAAAAAAATACTGTCGAATTACCAAATGATAACAAGTTTAGTTGAACAAATGGATTAAAATATTTCAGAAACTAAAAATATGGCCTGCATACTATAAGCGAGGATTTTTGTTCTTCTCTTCCTCGCCTTTTAGGCTATACGGGGTTTTCTCGGGTCGGGGTTGAGGGCGGGGGATTTATGCGAGAGTTAAATCCCTCCAGCACTGGGACGCGAACTTGTACTTTTAAATCTATCATAACTTCAGTTATCTGATTGCCAAGCTACACAACTGCTCGGCCACTCGGCCCCCTCGGCTATATTCAGTCGTCCGATGACAATATTTCCTCGCTCTAATCCTTTTCTAAACTTCTACAACTAAAAAAATCTTCGTACCTACTTGATTTGTGTACTCCTTGTTCCTCTGTTCAATCTTTTAAAAGGAGATTCCTGCCACAAACTGTATAATGTTTTCATATCTTTCATAGAACTTTTTCCTATGAAAAATCCTTTATAATGCATTCTGTTTTAAAATTCCCAATCCACTTCTATATGAAAAACCTCATCTTTGAATACATTTTAACACGTATTATTTTCCATCTCTTGAAGCACCAATCTTCTGATTATATGAAATAAATTAATATTTACATATTAGTTTTCTCTGCCTGTTTTTACTGTTATTATTTCTTTATCTCAAAGGTAAAGAACATCATTTTCTTATTTGTTCAGGGGAACCAATTTCAAATAACTTTGAGATTATAAAATTTGTTTCTTAGTTACTAAATCTGTAACTTTTTTTACCTTTTTTTATTTATTCAAGGATCCAATTTTCCATAACTTTGAGCTGTTAAAATTTGTTTCGTAGTTATTAAATTATTTAATAAAATGTGGACATGGTAACCATTACCTCCGGAACACAGATTTTAAAGAAGTTGAAGTAGCTATCGGAAAATTAAAATCATATAAAGCAGCGGGAACCGATAATATTCCTACTGAACTAATCAAGCCATGCGGGGAATACATCTTTCTAAAATACATCGGTTGGTTAAAAAGATCTGGGTGAATGAGAAATTATCTGAAGAATGGAAAGGATCTATTCTTATTCTAATTCACAAAAATGGTCCGAGGACGGATTGTAATAACTATCGAGGAATTTCACTCCTTCCGGTATATTATAAAATATTCACTTTAATCTTAACCAGTCGAATCACGGAATACGCCGAGGAAATTATCGGAGACTACCAATGCGGATTTAGACGAAATCGTTCGACTATTGATCAAATATTTTCTTTACGGCAAATATTAGAGAAAAAATTGGAGTACAACGGTATTGTTCACCAGCTGTATGTAGATTTTAAAAAGGCTTACGATTCTATTGACCGCCAAAAACTGTATAATATTCTAATCGAGCAGAGGATTCTAAAAAAGTTAGTAAATCTAGTCAGGGTTTGCTTGACGGAGACACTCAATAAAGTTAGAATCGGTAATAATCTGTCGGAAAAATTTGAGGTTCGTTCGGGTTTAAAACAGGGGGATTCCCTTTCGCCTGTCCTGTTCAATTTGGCATTAGCACGTGCCATTAGGGAGGTAATGCGTAAAGAGAAAGAGTTGGATCTGGTTGGGACAACATCCGTGCTGGGCTATGCTGATGATCTGGTAGTGTTAAGCGAAGACGTTGAAACTATAAAACTAAATACGACAACGTTAATGAAAGCCGGTAAAGAACTAGGACTCGAAATAAACGTGGATAAAACAAAATATATGGTTACCTGCAAAAATGGCGATACTACTGGTGATATCGATATAGATGGTAATATGTTTGAACAGGTAGATAAATTTAGGTATCTAGGTTCTACGATAACTAGAAAAAACGAAATTGAAGAAGAGATTAAGGTTAGACTGAAGGCGGGAAATGCTTGTTATTTTTCTGTGACAAAACTACTTAGTTCGCGCCTCTTGTCCCGAAACTTAAAAATTAGAATCTATAAAACAATTCTTGCCTACAGTTCTTTATGGATGCGAAACTTGGCCGCTTACATTAAGGGATGAGCAGCGTCTTAAGGTTTTTGAAAATAAAGTATTGCGTAGAATATTCGGACCGAAGAAGGATGAGTTAACCGGAGAGTTCAGACAGTTACACAACGCCGAATTACGTGAGCTGTATCCGGGTAATATAATTGAGGTCATTTCATCGCGGCGAATCAAATGGGCTTGTAAAGTTGTTGGGCTTAGTAACGAGAGAATTCTTAAAAGGTTAATATTTGCTGTGCCGAATGGTAAGCGTACGAGGGGTAGACCGAAAC